TTAATGTAATATATAATAATTTAGATGAAGGTGCTACTTGACATTGTTAAAGAAATTTTACAATACAAAAAGGAAACGATAAACTCATTATCGTATCGCAATGGGCTACTGGAAGTCATAACATCACCTGTCCTCAATGAAAGATGCTACATTTAGCAGATTTACAGGAAGTGTCGTTATTAAAGATTGACAAGTATGTATTTTATGGGTATCAATAATACGTATATTTTTATATTTTATTAGGTTCAAGAAAAAAATGTCTCCTGATTAACACTTATTTTTCTTTTAGAATATAAAGGAATCTTTTAATAGCCAAAATTCCGGTCCTACAATTCTATCGTTGTCATTTGCAGCTGGCGGAGTGGGATTAATTTTGGTAAACGGCAATCATTTGTTGTTATTCGTTCGACATTCATTGGAATCCGCAGTTGGAGACACAAGCACAAGACCAGATTTACCGCTTTGGTCAAACAAAGAATATTTACAAGTTAGTATAGCATGCTTGTTGATTTCTACGCACATATGTTCTTTGTAAAGTTTATTTTTTGAATATTATATCATTACGTTTCCATTTCAGATTTGTGTTAATACAATAGAAAAGCGTATTAAAGCGTTGCAAAAACGAAAACTTGAGATAACGAGGAATGAATTGAGCGGCGACAAGAGGAAAGTTACAAAGCTTGCGCTGAACGATCTCAAATCTCTTTTCGGCTTCTAATTTATTTCTTGTAATAAATAGATAGAACAATAGAACAATAGGATAATAGTTTTATGTTGTAAAGAATGTTTTACTTAATCGTAATTATATAGAATCGGTTTTATTTTGCGCATATATAAAATTAAAATATATCTTCTACATTAAACACTATTTTTTTTATAACAATACATACTTATTTTATTAAATGATAAAATAGCTGTATCACATGTGATTATCTTGACTATTAATATGTGCTTTAACTGTTTTAACTGTTGTATTTGTAACTGCAAAAAATTTGTTTATAAAAGGGGATAGATAAATTTTTTTCAGTTACAAATACAACAGTTAAAACAGTTAAAGCACATATTAATAGTCAAACAAAAAATAATAAAAATAATACACAAATTGTCTATAGAAAATTCACATGTGATACAACTATTTCATTATTTAATAAAATAAGTATGTATTGTTATAAAATATTGAAAAAAAATGTATTTAATGTAGGAGTATATAATAAAATAAGTATGTATTGTTATAAAATTAAAAAAATAGTATTTAATATAGGAGATATATTTTAATTTTATATATGCGCAAAATAAAATCGATTCTATATAATTACGATTAAGTAAAATATTCTTAATAACATAAACCAGCTAATATCCTATTGTTCTATCGTTCTATCTATTTATTACAAGAAATAAATTAGAAGCCGAATAGAGATTTGAGATCGTTTAGCGCAAGCTTTGTAGATGCGTTCTTCTTACCGCCACTCAATTCATTCTTCGTTATCTCAAGTTTTCGTTCTTGCAACGCTTTAATACGCTCTTCTATTCTATTAACACAAATCTGAAATGGAAACGTAATGATATAATATTCAAAAAATAAACTTTACAAAGAACATATGCGCGTAGAAATAGATCGGAAGAGCACACGT